ACGATAAATACGGAACATGCAATCACACAAATTGCAACGAATAAATTCCAACTGAAAAATAAAAATTCGAAATTAGAGGATTTCTTAAAAATTATATAAGTGTTTTGGAAATTTTTTAAGATGCAAACTATGAAAGTTTGTTTGGCACTACAGGCCTGCCGATGAGAGGGACACAGTCGAATATTGACAGTTGTGGGAAAGCAGGAAATGCCAATTTAGATACTCAGATAAGCGAGCCTGTATGTGCATTAGCTGTTGTCCTGTCTTTGTTTCATCCTGAACTCTATAAGTGGTGGACGCGACACAATGGCAAGCAGCGCTACTCTCAAGCTTCCGCCGCGGTCAAACAGTTCGAGTTCGTCACAGACAATCAGTCCCTTTACGATTCGTTCATTCAGTAGAAGGGCTACTCTTCAGCTACTGACAGCCTTTTCGGTGGGTGTTCAGTGCCTATACCTTTTTCAGGAAGTGAGTAATGAAGGGGACTATATCTGACTTAACTGAATGAAATAACTCAGCAGAAAATAATGAAAAAAAATTGAATATTGAATAAACTATGTAGAAAGGATAGCTAAATAAAGTACCATAAAGCATATGATATGAACAATAATACAGATAAAAAATTTCTAAAAATTCTACCTCAGGTAAAGATATTGCTCCCAAAATGTAAAAGCGATGCCGGATGGAAAATTCGGCAAACCCATATCTGTATACCGGTCACAAATACTACGTATTTCCTGTAAACATACCAAAAATTTACATAATTTTACATCAAAATTTGCATAAACAAAAACACTTAAAACAGATCCAGGGGAGATTTAACAAAATTACTGTGCTCACCAAGATGCTACTATAATTTCTACTATTTTTTTCATAACGGATCAAATGAGTACTGAAAATTTGCATGCATGGTTCAACTGAAAATTTACAACAAACACTCATTTGCATAAAAAACGTCCAAATCGTCACGGAACTAACCATCTGTCAATGCAGCACTGGTCAAGGCAACCAAGAAATGAAGAGGAAGTAAAACTTAATGGACCGAAACATTTCTTATCAATTTTTTAAAAAATTTTTCATAGAAATAATTTTTAAAAAAATTTAAAAAAAATTATAATTCTTTTTCATTTCCTCCTTTTTCTTCTCCCTTTTTCTTTGTTTCTTTACACTGTTTTCTCTTTAACTACTACTAACTTTCAACCAGTACTGGTAGTCGCCTATACCCAATTTGAGGTTTTGGAGAAAATATGAACAAAAGATGAAAGGGTTGTAAAGAATTATTAAAGTTGGTAAAAAATGTTTCGGTCCATTTCGTCGTTGTTCCAATGTTCCAAACTATATTTTTCCCATAAATAATTTTTCTCCAATATTCAAATCAAAAAAAAGAAAACTGTAAGACTTACTCGTATCATCTTCACAATTACGGGAGTGTTAACCAAATCAGTT